TCAAGAGGTTTGCATGCAGGAATGGAGGTAGGTAGGTAAACAAATTATCCTAAGGCTCATTTTCAACATGCTTCATGGAGGAAAGGGACCTACTACCTCTGATGGGCTTCTACAGGACTCAGGTGGAGTTAAACATTTAGAGCTCGAAGGATGTTTCTTCTCTTGCAGAGGACCTGAGTTCAGTCCCCAACACCTAAGACCTGGCAGCTCATTGCTACTTATAACTAGACACCCTCTTTAGGACTTCTGTGAGCACTTGCATACACACACACAGTGTGCATTCACATAGACACAAAGACAACACACACACACACACACACACACACACACACACCTTTAAAAATCGAATTAGAATTATCTACATTTACAAGTGGGATGATAGTCTTTCCTGGAAGAGATAGAAGATAAAAGAAGACAAAATCAATTCTAGCTAAAAGTCAAGAAGTTAGGAAATGACAAAAGACTACATTTTGCTAGTTATGGTTGATGGAGTGGGTGATAGGTGACAAGGTATAAATATGTAGGATGGTGTTAGGTTGTACGAGATGGGGACAGAGGAAACACTAGAGGTTTTGAGCAAGAAAATGGCATGAGAAGATGCTACAAATGTGAAGAAGAGGGTACAGTCTAATAGTGTAGTTATTAAGGAACTCACAGATGAAGATCACATTCACTAGTAATTCTTACCAAGTGTAAAGGGTTTCTGTGATCTAACATTCACTCTAGATGAGGCAGAAGTAAGGCTCTCACCACTTTCTGAGATGTGAGGGGCCAAATTGAAGATATTTTCTAAGAGAATTGCCTTTTTCAAATATTTATTTCATTGTTAATTTTGTGTGTGTATGAGTACATGTGTGTATGTGTTTGCACATGTGTTCAGGTCCTCAAAGTAGTAGGCAAGGGTTTGGAACCCTCTCAGCTGGACTTAAGGTGGATTTGGATTGCTGGGAACCTGACTCGTTCAGTTCTGCAAAAGCAGTACTCAAGGGCTGAGCCCCATTTCCGAGCCCAGGTGAATAGATTTTAGTTCTTACTACTGAAGAGTCTTATTTAAAGTTGTTTACTGAATCTTTTTGGGAAAGGCTAAGTCTCCAGAAGCATCCCACCTGAAAGCCATTACCACCTTGTGGTTTATAGAGGACTTTCTCTGCTCATCCCCAACCAGTATTTGTGCTTTCCTTAAGCCCCTCGAGGATAGGAAGTCTTACAGTGACTTTTCCCTTCCCATTCACTGGCATCAACCATGCTTCCAGCCTTTGACAGAGAAGTCTCTTCCTTAGCGGGGTATTATTCTCAGTTTCTTTTTCCTTCATTCTCTCAAGAACCATCAATTAATTTGATAATTCCCTGTAGATGCTTTTATTTACAGTACGTAAGTACCGTGCATTTAATCTGTACTTTGTACACTAACTTTGCTTTCATTAGCAATCACTGTCAGGATTAGCGAAGGTTTCACATTACATAGACTTGAACAATAAGGGCTGTTTTCTCTCTTAAACTCAAGGTTTAGTAATTGAGCGCTGGACTGCTGCCACACTCTCAGAACTCTATGGGATTCTGCTTCTTCCATGCATCTGTTATCACTCGAGAGTAGCTTTTGTTTTGAAATCTGAGATGATTGGGTTACCACTCTCCTCCCCATTGAAACAGCAAGAAGACAAGGTGTTGGGAAGAGGTAGTGAAGGAAACCGTCAAGTGTCTTCGGGAAGGGTTCTTTAAGCACATCAAGATGTCTGTGTCAATAGAGTCTATAAGAGCTACCTCTAGCCATACCACATGCAGGGAAATCAGCTAAGATACAGATTAGTTTGTGAGAAGACCGGATATCCTTGGAAATTAAAGTTAAAATGATACGAAGAAGAAATACAGGTTTTAGACAGACAATTAACTATGCCAGTGAGTTACAAATCTTGTTTTGAGCCACAGTCTCCTCAGTTACCTCTCTTAATTAATAAACTTTAAAAATTGATGCAATCTTCATTCTGCAAGAAATTCCTCATGCCATTTATGGTTTAGGATCAAATACAATGGTGAGTTTATAAACATCTAGAAAATGCACAGATATGAAATGCCATCTTTTGAAGCACTAAGTAGGGTACTGAGTATAAAATAAGAAAATTACTAAGGAAATATGTTGCTTTTTTATATATGTCTGGTCATAACTTATGATAACCATTAAATATTGGGCTAGGGAGATGGCTCAGTGAGTAAAGAACTTTGAGTACCGATGTGAGGACCTGAGTTTGAATCCCCAGAAGTCATGTGAAGCTGGGTGTGATGATGGGAGAGTAATCCCAGAGGTACTGTGGTGAGATAGGAGGTGGAGATGACCCTTGTAAGCTTGCAGTCCAGGTAGCCTGGTATACATAGCTGCGAACACCCCAGAGACCCTACTACAAAATACAGTGGAAGGTGAGCACAAATACCTAGGGGTGCCCTCTGGCCTCCACATGAGCACTGTGGCATGTGTGCACCCATGCCCATCAACCGTCCACATACACAAAAGGAATATTTACTGTTATTGCTAAATAACTCTATTTGTGAAACATTTCTAAGATCGTAGTACAATTTTTTTTTTACATAGATGTGTGCACTGTATTGTTATGCCCACTCTACAGGTAGGAAACCAATCAATGCATGGAGGATACATGGAGCTCAAAGCCATGAGACTCTGAGTGGCTGTTCTAGAAACATCTACTTTCAAAACTCTAATCTGTGTTGCTGTTCTAGTCTTTGTGTGCCATGTGTTTCATGTCCTTTTGGTAAAATCCAAATCTCTATCATTAGAAGGATGCTTGCTTATTTGCATGTTGTACTTTCTCATTTCTCCCCATAATGAACCCAGCCTTCTCTTTTCCCAAGTGCCAGCTTCATTCTTGTGTTCTGTGTGAGACATTTCCTAAATACCTCAGTCCACAACGATCTTCCTGAATTTCCACAACATACAAACTGTATACTGTATACTGTATACTGTATACTGTATACAGAGAAGTATATATTCATTTGATTATAGACATAAATTTTACATCGTGTTAGGTTACTCTATATACCTTGATTTTCTATCCTTGAGCATACTGCCTTCTATTTCTTAAGCAATTTAAAACATACAACATCAATGTTGAGCCTATAGGAAGAACTAAAATTTAGCTCAGTTCTAAATCGAACCAACAATTAATACTTAAGCAACTATTGTAATCTACACTTCCATGACAAGTGAGACATCAGACTTAAGGAGGCAGAGCCATAGCCAGTGTCAACAACTAGGAGTCCAGTCTCACTGTTACAGAAAACCTTTAGTCTAAGGCTTGAGTGTCAACTGAACATGTGCCTAAAATCTGAACATCATTATTGCTTGTATTTGTGATGTGTGTACAGATGGCCTACTGTCTTAAGTAGAAAAAATAAAAAGCCAGGTGTAAGCAATTAAATTAATTTATAGGCAAACTCTATTCAACTTTGACAGTATCAGAACTGAGGGAACTTTATATGGAGATACCATGCATGAGCTCCTGCTAGTCACTTTATTAAAGAGAACTGCAAGGGATTCTTTTACAAATTTAGTCATGAAATATTTAATAACTCTCTGCAAGGCCATCTACAGAGTCTAACTAGGTGGGTGGCTGTTCCCCTCCTGTATGTGACACAAATATTTTCAGGGTCATATTTTCTGCTTAAGCTCATTTTGTAACCTCAAAAGCAACCCAGGGTCATAACAAGACATTACTAGAAGGAGTGTAGGGAAAAGTCTTTTATCTTTTCTGGTTCATGCATTTGCCTTTTTCTGAGTGGACATGTTGGCTTAGTATTTTGGTTACAGGAAACTTGAACACATAAAGATGACAATATTCCTGTTTGATTTTAGGTTGTTTAAATCAACTTGCCAACTGAATTTTTATGTATGTTTTATATAATCTACCTTTCTTTAGCTATGACATATATTTGTTGTTACTCAAGCTATCTATAAATTGCCTGTCCACTTGTCTTAGTTACTGTTCCATTGCTGTGAGAGACACCATAGCTAAGGCAAGTTATAAAAGAATGCATTTAACTGGGGGCTCTTTTACAGTTTCAGAAGGTGAGTCCATGACCACCATGGCAGGGAGCATGGGAACCTATCATGTAGACATATCATTGGAGCAGTAGCTGAGGGCTCACGTCTGATTTACCAGCAGGGGGCTGAAAGAGTGAGACTGGGCCTGGCATGGTCTTTTGGAACCTCAAAGTCCATTCCCAGTGACATACCACTCTTCTTCCAGTTAGGCCACACCTCCTAACCCTTCCCCAAGCAATCATTCCACCTACTAGGGACCAAGCATGCACATAGATGGATCTATGGGGGCCACTCTCATTCAGAATCACATTGTTTATCAGTATATCTTCATTTCCATGCAGAGATTCAAAATATCAAGAATAAACTCTCCCCACTGTTGCTCCAGGTTATTAGTCCATGACTATGTTCACTGTTTATGTTCAAGACCTTTTCAGGATCACTTCAAAAGGACAGGTCTGTCATGTTTCAGAGATTTTATTTTACTGTTACTTAGGAAGAATGCTTGCTATTTTTATTATTGAGAGATTATTGTAGCAAGTTATTTGTTAGAAAGATATCCTGCTGTATTTCACGTGTTTATTTTGAGGATCAGGGATTCTAGACATTCCAATCCATGTAGGCCCTTACAGTCCTCCTAATCTAGCATCTTTTTGTTCAAGTTGAGTCACATACCTCCCCGGAACTTGTATGAGTCATTAGTGGTGTTGCAGAGACAAGCCAAGGCAGTGTAGTTTCCCTTGCTGTTTTAATTCTCCATCCTTCCCTCCATGTCCCTCTCTGTTTCCTTCTCTCTCCCTCTTTCCCTCTCTCTCTTTTATCACTCTTTTTTCATACTTATTCCCCCCAAATAGATTTTAACACTGAGAATTGTCAAGAACATTGTACAGAGCAAGATGATTTATTCACAAAGTCACTAATCTTTTCCTGCCTTTTATTTTTCTTCTTCTAGCTCTCTTCAATCTAATTCCTGTGGGACTGCGTGTGGTGGCCATCCAAGGGGTGAAAGCCAGCCTCTATGTGGCCATGAATGGGGAAGGCTATCTCTACAGCTCAGTAAGTAGTGTGTGTGTGTGTGTGTGTGTGTGTGTGTGTGTGTGTGTGTGTGTGTATGTGTGTGTGTGTATGTGTGTGTGTTAGTGAAGTCATCATTGTTTTAAGGAACTGATGTCACCTTATACTTTCAAATTGGATTGGTTTTCAGGACTATTGCAAAGATTTTTGCCATTTTTGTATTAAAGATTCTCCTCAGTGAGTGAAAATAAACAAATTATTTTCATTGTTATGTGTTCTTACATCTAGTTTTAACTTCCAGAAGGTGCAGTTTGAAATTTACCTGTCTGTAAGTTCAAGGAGTAAGGCACTTTCTCTTTTCTGTGTCCACTCCCCTTCAAGGACAGAAGATGTCTTGTAGAGGGTCTTCTTGATCATATTGCAGAGAAAAAACTTTCATAGAATCTGCTTTTCTTTATGCTTAATAAGTTCATGTAGTGCCCAATATGTGATATTCTCTAACTTACAGCCATTGTCTAATTCAAAGACAATGGGTGTGTAGAATGAGCTCTGGATTAGGAGCAACAACATCAGTGTATTGTGCATATACCAGTGTGTGTGTGTGTGTGTGTGTGTGTGTGTGTGTGTACGTGTGTGTGTACGTGTACACAAACAAGTTTTCCTTATTATCTTAATTTCTGGTCCTTTAGAGAGTTGGCCTTGGTTCCTCTCTTGTATACATACCATCTCTTCAAATCTACACATGACAAACTGTAGTATCAGTGGCTATATTATGGACACAAACATGTTTATAAGCACTAACTTAACACTATCCTGGTTGTTCTATCTAAAAAGAAAAATCACAGCTAAAGGGTTCTACCCATTCTGTAATCTTGGCCATTGTACAGATTAGGAAATTCACCAGTGTTTCTCAGCTGCTGTCATCTTAATATCATGGTAGCTCAGTTACTCTGATGGGATCATTACATGTTGTTTGCCTATACTGCTATGTCAAATGGTCCCTCAAATAAATATATAAATATATATATATATATATATATATATATATATATCAGTTAAAACACAGAATAATTTAAACAGCTCAAAGGTGACAGTCTACTTCTGAGCATATTCAGTTCTGAATGTCCATTAATATAAGGTATACATGTACACACATGTTCAAGTCAATTATCAAAATAGTACTTAAAGATAGAAACATCATCAGCCTTAGTAACAAGCTTTCGTTTTTCATGAATTGTGTTAGATACACTAACAGCTTTCATATAAAATCATCAGGAAGCCCCTTTAAATTTTTCTTTAATTTTTTTTTTCAGCTACATAGATTGACCCTAGGGACTGGCACATGCTAGGCAAGTGCTTTACCACTAAGCTGTAGCCCCAACCCCTCACAAATTCATTCAAAATACAAGAATCAAAACAAGAATAAAGAAGGGTATTAAGTTGAATAATTCAAATTAGCTAAACACTGGCAATACAAACGTTGACTGGGATAAAAACTAAAGTGTGTAGATTATCTGAGGATGGTATTAAAAACTGAGTAAGACATCACATAAGCTTGTAAAGGCTCAGGGTGCAATGCCAGAGGGTGCAATGTCATTTCAGGGCTTGAATTAGAGTTGATTTTCATTGGTCAGTGGTTTGTGTATAGAATGAAAGTGAAAAGTGGGGGGCACAGTTTTATTCAATTTTCAGAACTGTATTCTTTCTGTCCTTATTTAGAAGTGAAGCTAAGTGCATGCATTTGGGGTCTGTAGGAAAGAGAGGTTTAAAGAAACTTGCAGTTTTGATTGCAGTCCTGATTTAAAAATAGACCCAACACCGTTGTAAAGCCAGTGGTCACTTCCTTAGTTACATGCTTTGCTACATACATGTCTTACATAGAATCACAGTGCTGTCTTTGCTAGGGTGCCAGGGGCAAGTGTCTTATAATCCTACGCAGATTGTCACTGGCATAAGTTATCTGGTTCTATTCTCTTAAGTGCCCTATCTTTATCCCAGATTGGCAGGGGAGTACTGGTTTTAAACAATCTCTAATGGGACTATGGGGACCAACACCAGAGTGTACAAGCCCCATCACACTCCGTTCTCCAATTTCTCTGGTGTGCTGCAATGTGAGTCTGGCGCAGAGACCTTGTGGAGAGTTGTTAACCCCAGCTTTCCTGAGGTGTGTTTGCTGTGTACTAAGGCTTGAAGTTATTTGAAAGGCAGCTTCCTGTTTCCTGTGACCAGAGAAGTAGAGAGCATCATCAAAAGCCATCAAGAGATATGTGAAGGGACAGTCAGCAGTGTACAAACTGAAGAAGTTCTGCTATCTTGTCTGTACTGTCATTTTTGGGTTTCTGTTTAGATGGAAGCTAGAGGTATGTTCCCTTGCTACCTTTGAGTTCTCTTCATTTACTCATAAGCAGGAGCAAAGAAGAGTAGTGAAGGTAGGCTGATTGCTAGGTACTCTGGATGGAGCGAAGTTGTTAAGGTCTGTTCTCAAAATCCAGGCATACTAATTTATATCTGTCTGTATCTGTGTCTACATCTAGCCAATATATCTAAATCTATATCTACATATCATCTATATCCTTATTCATATCTATACTATTCTTTATATCATCTAAATCTTTATATAGATCTGCATTTATATCTTTATATTATCTATATCTATCTGCATCTATATCTTTATCTATATCATCTATACATGTATGTATGTATATATATACATATATATATAAGTTGTATCTATATCCATACATATATCACTATAGATATAGATATATAAATACAGATGTAGAAATACATATGTAAATGCAGATATATATGTGAAATGGTTTTGATGAATCTGGATTTGTTTCTTTAATCATTGTATTTTGCATGTTTAAACCTTCTCTGATTTTTCTTTTTAAACTCTCATGCATTACTGAGATTTCCCCATTTTTCTGTTATTCTTCTAAACTTAGGCTGCATTTCTTTTCCTTTCATGGTTGCCTCTAGTTTCAATTTGCATCAACCCATGATTATTACATCCATTGATAAGTATCTTTGTGTTTCTGTTTTCTAAACAGTTTATGAGCTGTAGAATATTTTCTTGGCTATTCAAACATATCTCACCAATCTGAATAAAAGTATTTTAAAATACATTATTTGTAGGTAGTGATTGAATTTTTCCAGACTTGGAAAATAATTTCTATGAACAGTTTTTGTGTGTGGCAAAGTTAGTCTTGCTGTTTTTACCCTTTTGCCAAACTACATATTTCTTTGTTCTTTGTGTGAATGTCTGCATGTAGTGACTTCTTAGGTTTGTGCAAGAATCTCTGTGTAGCAGGTAATTTGCTGCCTCATGAATTCATACAAACTCTTCCTTCCATTTCTCTTTGACTGTAGTCCACTTATTGGAAGCATCTCACTGGACAGGCATTTCCCCTAGCATCCATGAAATGATATCCCATTAGTTTCTTGCATCTGTTGTTGAATGTAGGAATTTGTTGTCAATTTACTATTTCCTTTTGGGTATTCCCTATGGAACAGAAAAAAATATTTTCACTTTATATTTCCTGTTCTTAAACTGGCTTTACCTACTAGAGATTTGTAATGAACTTACATTCCGAAAGAGTTATAATTCTCCACAAAAAACAACAAAATTTAACTTACTTTGCGTGTCCATTTTATCTCTCCGCCATATTTTCCAGTCTTATATGATGTTTCTATGATGTAAATTAGAAACATTCAAACTCATTGTGCTCAAATTTTATACTGTTTTGTGATTTCAGTCATGGTGTTTTCTTTTCTGAATGTTGGATTCTATTAATATTCTCACTTTCTTGATTTATTTCTTCCTGTTTTTATTGTGTGGCATTTTCCACTTCTTACAGACTGTTATTAGCTTATCTCTCCAAGTGTTTCTAACATAATTGGTCAGTGTTTTCCATAGTTATGAATTCATATTTTAAGCATTAATTTTCTTGAATCATTTTATAGTCACATTCAGGCTAGATTTTAGAATTAATTCTTTAAGTGTTGTGGGATTTGGCTTTGGGGCATGTTCCTTTCTCTTTCTCTTTGATAGTTCTCTCGTTTTGTTCTAGCAACTTTTTGGGTAGCTTCTCTTCAGCCTCCAGTATTTAGAGTACTTGACAGTAGTTTTAAGGCATTCCCAAAATGGCATCCTTGGGTAACAGTGGTGTGAAAGCAGGAGCCTGTGCCGAGGTGTGGTTTGGTCTAGCTGTTCTTGTAATAGACTGCACTGTGTTTCTAGGAAGGAACATCAGTTTTTGTCATTTCAGGATACCCCAGGGCAGCACATTATATTATTAGCTAGCAAGGCTCTGGTCCCCACTACACACAGACAGATTTTAGTTAATTCAGCTCACGAGAGAACTCCAGGCCAAAGGGCTTTCTTTGGGACCTGAAGTCAGGCTAGCCTGAAGCTGCAGCTGGTGTGGTGCCATTTCTATTCCACGGGAACATTGTGCTTGGTGTGACAGTGCTGTCTGCTAGTGGTGGCTGGGCCTGAGGTTTGTATTCTCCATTTGGAAAGAGAGGGTACAATACTGTGATCAACAATGAATCTCAATCCCCCCCATTCTCCTCCTCCTCTCTCTCTCTGGTTAAACGTACATAATATTATTCTTAATATTTTTGCATTCACTTACTGTTAATAATATCTACACTTTGGGCAACAGATCTCTATACCCTTTTTATATTGCAAGAACATTAAAATCATTTCCCCTTTTCTCCTCCCCATGACTTATTTCACTTAGCAAAATGGTCTCATTTCATCCATGTTATAGCATACAATAGGATTACTTTTGTCTTCAAAATGTAATAAAATTCCATTGTGTGTATCATTTTGCCCATTCATCTATTGAAAAGCATTTAAGTTTCTCCTACTCCTTGGTTATGGGATTAACGCTGCAGTGAACACAAAGTTAAAAACACATTTTCAGAAATATTTTCATCTCTCTGGAAATATGTCCAGAGACAAAGTTACTAGACCACATAACTTTATTTTAATTCCTTTATGGACTCCATACTGTGTTCTGTGCATCAGCACT